AAATTACCCTGTGACGTACCCAACCCATTTGTATCAATGGAAACGAGGAGTTGGCCGAAACTTGTATGGACAATCAACTTGATGTGTAAGCTACTTGGGAGGCGTCACTGTGCTGGGCCCCCCAGCAGGCCTCGAAAGTGGCGACAGTTTGACAGATCGCAGCCCCCCAAGGATGGCGAGGTCTAATTTGAATCTGCGTGTGGCGTCTCTGTGCTGGGCCCCCCAGCAGGCCTCGAAAGTGGCGACAGTTTCACAGATCGCAGCCCCCCAGGGATGGCGAGGTCTAATTTGAATCGTGTGGGTCCCACTGTGCTGGGCCCCCCAGCAGCCTCGAAAGTGGCGACAGTTTCACAGATCGCAGCCCCCCAGGGATGGCGAGGTCCCATTTGAGTCTGCGGTGAGTATCCACTGTGCTGGGCCCCCCAGCAGCCCTCGAAAGTGGCGACAGTTTCACAGATCGCAGCCCCCCAGGGATGGCGAGGTCCCATTTGAGTCTGCGTGAGTACCCACTGTGCTGGGCCCCCCAGCAGGCCTCGAAAGTGGCGACAGTTTCACAGATCGCAGCCCCCAGGGATGGCGAGGTCGAATTGAGTCTGCCGTGAGTACCCACTGTGCTGGGCCCCCCAGCAGGCCTCGAAAGTGGCGACAGTTTCACAGATCGCAGCCCCCCAGGGATGGCGAGGTCCCATTTGAGTCTGCGGTGAGTACCCACTGTGCTGGGCCCCCCAGCAGGCCTCGAAAGTGGCGACAGTTTCACAGATCGCAGCCCCCCAGGGATGGCGAGGTCCCATTGAATCCGCCGTGTGTACCCACTGTGCTGGGCCCCCCAGCAGGCCTCGAAAGTGGCGACAGTTTCACAGATCGCAGCCCCCCAGGGATGGCGAGGTCCCATTTGAATCCGCCGTGGGTACCCACTGTGCTGGGCCCCCCAGCAGGCCTCGAAAGTGGCGACAGTTTCACAGATCGCAGCCCCCCAGGGATGGCGAGGTCTAATTTGAGTCTGTCGCTGAGTACCCACTGTGCTGGGCCCCCCAGCAGGCCTCGAAAGTGGCGACAGTTTCACAGATCGCAGCCCCCCAGGGATGGCGAGGTCCCATTTGAGTCTGCCGTGAGTACCCACTGTGCTGGGCCCCCCAGCAGGCCTCGAAAGTGGCGACAGTTTCACAGATCGCAGCCCCCCAGGGATGGCGAGGTCCATTTGAATCCGCCGCGTGTACCACTGTGCTGGGCCCCCCAGCAGGCCTCGAAAGTGGCGACAGTTTCACAGATCGCAGCCCCCCAGCTGGCACGCAGCGACGAGCGAGGCAGAAGGCAAGGGGGAAGAGAGGGGCGGGAAGGAGGCAAGGCGACGCGCGAGCAGTGCTCTATTCAAAACGAGAACCCAACGCAGGAGGGTTGGGAATTCTGGCTCCATCCCGAGCCGCATCGCCGATGCATTGGCGATGCGGGTTCGGCGACACCGGAATCCCCAGAGGCATCACCGTACGGCCTATCACCGCACCATTTTGAAGCCTCGGAGGCCCCAAACGCCCGAGATATCCTGTGAGAACGATCCAAGTCCCAAAACCGTGCGGTCACCCCCGGATCCCCACTGGGTAACCACAAGGTGTGATCACCGCACCGCTTGGGGGCTCTAGAGGTATGGAAGGGGGAGCGGGGGACCGAGGACGGATCGAGGATCGATCAAAGTCCCTGATATCCTCGAATCGCGAGAATAAATGGCGGAGCTTCGTTAGTTGCTGTGGGTCTGCTCGCCTCCGGATTCCTTCCCGCAAGTGCGTCTCGTCGAAAGCCGTCCAGGGGGGCCCGGACAGTCCGCATCGGCCGCCAGAGGCCCGAAATATAGCCACCGCGCATGGTACAAAACCAGAGCCACAAATCTGTGCTGCAGTTTTCGGCCCTCGAGGGGCCCTGTTGCTGGGACCAAATTACCCTGTGACGTACCCAACCTATTTGTATCAAGGGAAACGAGGAGTTGGCCGTAACTTGTATGGACAATCAACTTGATGTGTAAGCTACTTGGGAGGCGTCACTGTGCTGGGCCCCGCAAGCAGGCCTCGAAAGTGGCGACAGTTTCACAGATCGCAGCCCCCCAGGGATGGCGAGGTCTAATTTGAATCTGTGTGTGGCGTCACTGTGCTGGGCCCCCCAGCAGGCCTCGAAAGTGGCGACAGTTTCACAGATCGCAGCCCCCCAGGGATGGCGAGGTCTAGTTTGAATCTGCGTGTGGGTACCCACTGCGCTGGGCCCCTCAGCAGCCTTCGAAAGTGGCGACAGTTTGCCCCCCAGGGATGGCGAGGTCCCATTTGAGTCTGCCGTGAGTACCCACTGTGCTGGGCCCCCCAGCAGGCCTCGAAAGTGGCGACAGCTTCACAGATCGCAGCCCCCCAAGGGATGGCGAGGTCGAATCTGAGTCTGCGGTGAGTACCCACTGTGCTGGTCCCCCCAGCAGGCCTCGAAAGTGGCGACAGTTTCACAGATCGCAGCCCCCCAGGGATGGCGAGGTCCAATTTGAGTCTGCCGTGAGTACCCCCTGTGCTGGGCCCCTCAGCAGCCCTCGAAAGTGGCGACAGTTTCACAGATCGCAGCCCCCCAGGGATGGCGAGGTCCCATTTGAGTCTGCGGTGAGTACCCACTGTGCTGGGCCCCCCAGCAGGCCTCGAAAGTGGCGACAGTTTCACAGATCGCAGCCCCCCAGGGATGGCGAGGTCCCATTTGAGTCTGCGGTGAGTACCCACTGTGCTGGGCCCCCCAGCAGGCCTCGAAAGTGGCGACAGTTTCACAGATCGCAGCCCCCCAGGGATGGCGAGGTCCCATTTGAGTCTGCCGTGAGTACCCACTGTGCTGGGCCCCCCAGCAGGCCTCGAAAGTGGCGACAGTTTCACAGATCGCAGCCCCCCAGGGATGGCGAGGTCTTTGAGTCTGCCGTGAGTACCCACTGTGCTGGGCCCCCCAGCAGGCCTCGAAAGTGGCGACAGTTTCACAGATCGCAGCCCCCCAGGGATGGCGAGGTCCCATTTGAGTCTGCCGTGAGTACCCACTGTGCTGGGCCCCCCAGCAGCAGGCCTCGAAAGTGGCGACAGTTTCACAGATCGCAGCCCCCCAGGGATGGCGAGGTCCCATTTGAGTCTGCCGTGAGTACCCACTGCGCTGGGCCCCCCAGCAGGCCTCGAAAGTGGCGACAGTTTCACAGATCGCAGCCCCCCAGGGATGGCGAGGTCCCAATTGAGTCTGCCGTGAGTACCCACTGTACTGGGCCCCCCAGCAGGCCTCGAAAGTGGCGACAGTTTCACAAATCGCAGCCCCCCAGGGATGGCGAGGTCTCATTTGAGTCTGCCGTGAGTACCCACTGTGCTGGCCCCCCCAGCAGGCCTCGAAAGTGGCGACAGTTTCACAGATCGCAGCCCCCCAGGTGGCACGCAGCGACGAGCGAGGCAAAAGGCAAGGGGGAAGAGAGGGGCGGGAAGGAAGAAAGGAGACGCGCGAGCAGTGCTCAAGTCAAAACGAAAACCCAACGCAGGAGGGTTGGGAAAAAAGGTCCGCGGGAAGGGGTCCAGGCCTCTGGAAGCCAGAGTGCAAACAAAAACACAACAAGTCTGATGTCTTGGGGGGTGGGGGTGGGAGGGAGACAGTAGGGAGGGGGAGCAGGAGGGGCGGGGGACAGGGAGGACATCCGAGGCCTCTCACCCATGTTCGTTTCCGCATGCGCGGACTGGTTCTCTATAGGAGCAGCGGCAACAGACGGAAGAGGGCGATGATGATGATGATGATGATGATGATGATGATGATGATGATGATGATGATGATGATGATGAATATGATGATGATGATGATGATGATGATGATGATGATGATGATGGTGATGGTGGTGGTGGTGATGATGGGGATGATGATGATGATGATGATGATGATGATGATGATGATGATGGTGATGGCGAGGAGGATGAAGGAGGAATAAGGATTTGATGCCTTCTGCCCCCGCGGCCGAAGCAGGTTTAATTTACTCATATTTGTCCGCACGCCAATGCAGGGCGCAGCGAACTTAGGGAAGGCAGAACTGGCTCTAGACAGCATGAGGCCATGTCCGCGGGAGGCGGGCGTGGCACAAAGATACAGGCCCGAAGCGAAGGCTCAACGCGCGCTACCTTGCCATACTTTCCAGTTGACCATCTCGAAAGAACACGGATTACTGCAAAGGGGTACGATTACAAGACAACGCCAACATGCCGACTCAGATCGCCCTCGAAGTAGAGAGAAGAGGATCGAACCGGCACGTCTTCATGCATCCGTGGGCCTGATCAAAAGTTAATGCGAATGCGACGCGAAACCTAAGTGGATAGCGCTCTGCGGCCTTTGCCTTGCAGTCGCCGGCGCTCGCGAGACCGTGTATCGAGGCAGTGATGAAGCCTAAGGGTACGACTGCCCAACTTTCCATGGCCCCATACAATCAAAACTGGCGGGGCTCAAACGATCTCCGAAAACGCCCATGTTTTTTTCCAAGGCGTCCCCCACTGGCACAGATTTATGACAACATATAACGCGGAGGGCCAGCTTCGAGCTTTCAAAAAGCGGGGAAGATTCCACAGACGTGAGCGGGTGATTCTCAATGGCAGCGGGTAAAGTTAAAACGTGCATATTTTCGAGGTTGCAGCAACAGAAGGCCGCGAGAAGGTTCCCGAGCCCCACCGCCTCGAGATCGGCTGGGTGGCGAAGCTCTGGATGGCCCATCAAGTGCTGATCACTGCGGAACCGTGACGGCAGGCAGGGCTGCGGGTTATCAGGATCCCGAAGAAAAAGCACGGCGTCCCGCGCCCTAGTCCAGGTCTGGGAAACCGTGCCCAAGAACACGCCCCACACGAGCCCTGCCAATCTCCATCCACGCACCAACCTCTGAATGGCTCGGTCAGCCAGGTCCCGCAGCCGCCCGCGGGAAAAATCCCACTTTAGCACGATGAAGCCCTTGGCCCGCTACGCCTTGGGCAGTCCGCCGCGCCCGCTGATCAACTCCAGAAAGACCTGCGGCTGGCCCCCCTGGAGGCCGGGGTGCGAGCAAAAGCGTCGCGAGGGCCGCGGGCACGGCCAGCGCGAGACTGATCGCCCGCCAGCGGGCCACGGCCGGCAGCCTCTGAAGCTGCCCATCTATGCGCCCCTCCTTCTGGTACCGGCGCGCGGATCTCCTGCAGCGAGCGGAGCAGGCGCGCGTGGTCGTGGCTCGGCCCGCCGTGCGTCAGCATGTACAGCTCTGGCCCCAGGCAGTCCAATCCCGCGCCCACGGCCGCCAGCTTGAAGTACTGAACGAGGTCCCCCTGCGCGAAGGCGAAGATGGCATGGCCTGGCGGCATGGACCTCTTGAGATAGGCGTGGACGCGGCTGAGGAAGCCGAGCTGGGGGAGGTCGGACACCCCCGCCTCGCCGCACTCCCACGCCGCGCTGCTCACGTGCTCCTCGAACGGGTGCAGGACGATGGCCCAGCATGTCAGCGTCGTGCCGAGCGTGGGCGGAATGATCACCTCCCGCGTCGACTTGCCCAGCTCGATCGGCCTCAGGTGGCAGCGGAAAGCGATGACGATCCAGGCGGACGTCGCCCAGGAACCCACGCCTGGTGGCGTGCCGCTCCCAGCCCTTCACGGCCCGCGAGGCGCAAGGCAGCAAGAGGCTGCCCGTCCGCGCGAGCTGAAGCCGGAAGAACTTGACCGCCGCCTTCACCCTGGTGTCCCGCTGCACAAGCACTCCGCTCATGGACTCCCGGTTCAACCAGGCGGCGAGGTCGTCCATGTCGACGTACCGCGGGCGCTGCAGGCCGACGGGGCAAAGCGGGGCCTCCCACGACTGGAGGATGTCCTGTAACAGCATGTCGTACCACGCGCGAGCGTCGAGGTGCGAGGGCCGCCCACGCTGTAGCGTGAGAGGTGCCAGCTGCCACCTGCGGGCGTGGCGACCATCACAGAGGCGAGGACGCTGGGCGCCGATAGGCTCAAGGCCTGCGCCGCCGCGAACACCTGCACGTCCTCGAGCTCCCCGAGCGCCTCCGCCTGGGCTGTCGAGAGAGCTGCCGCTGCAACCTGGGGCCAGCAGCGCAGGCGCCGCCTCGAGCCGCGGCGGCCGCCTGGACCCCGCCGCCCGGCCGGACCCAGCCTCCGGCGGAAGGCCCTTTCGGCGCGAAGCGGAAGGGCCTAAACGGCAGCGGAAGTGCGGGCCACTTCCCCTCAAGCAGGCGGCAATCACCAACAAAGTAGAGATCAGGAGGAGGAGGAGGAAGAGGAGGAACAGCAGCATTGCAGGACCATGAGCAAGCGAGCGGGAGGAGCAGGACGACCAGGGGAGGGCGGAGGAAGAGAACGGAGGAGGCCGCAATAACTACGAAGGACTCGAACAACCTGCACGACGGGAGCAATACGCCAATCGTGAAAGGAGGCCGTCGCGGGAGCGGGAACACCGTTTTTATCAACGAAACAGGTTGCGAAGTGTAAACAAACCAGATAGAAGACAATTTGAAATCCAACGTGAGAAAGAAACTGTGTGCGGGATAAAAGAGAGTGGCGTCGCTCGTGAGCCCGACCGAACTACCCGAGCCGAACCCATCACTACTTCAGACAACTCTCGTCGAATGTCGGTCTCGACACGAGCGCAATCCACCGCAGAAGTCGGCCACTCGAGGAATCGAACGCTCCTTCCGCTCTCGGTAAGTGCAGGCTCTGGACGACGGCACTCGAGGATGTCGGCCGCCATCGAGGACTCTCTCGGGGACCCCAGTCGGAGCAGGGCAAGTGGAGATAACGAGAAATCAAAATGGGTTCCTGGAATCCTCCCAAGGCCCGAACGCACCGATTTCCTGAGCAACGTGCAGCCGTGGTGACGAGGGGCGCCCCCGAAGGCCAACTACCGTTGTCTCAGCTGCTCCTCCTCCTCCTCCTCCTCCTCCTCCTCCTCCTCCTCCTCCTCCTCCTCCTCCTCCTCCCCCTCCTCCCCCCTCATCCTCCTCGCCCTCTCCTCGCCCTCCTCCTCGTTCCTCCTCCTCCTCTGAAATCGAAGACGCGGGCCGCCCCCGAGGGCTCTCCCGAGTGCAGAGAACTAGCACCGCTCCGCCGCATCTCGTGCGGCAGAGGAGGCGCGTCGGGCACGCAGGAAGAGGCGAGGGGGGGGGGGTGTCGAAAAGCAAACTGGGTCCAGCTGGGAGCCCGCACCGCGGGCGCACTCCCACTTCCACAACAAAAGGCAAGGAACTCCTCCCCCCATGCGCGAGGTGGAATCAGGATCAAGATCCGAACTCCAAAGAACCTCTTGCATTGGCCAACTACGGGAAAAAAATCGGCTCGGAGGAAAACGCCTGGAAGTTGGACCAGACTCGGGGCAGGAACGCCCCCGAGGCTCACGCCGAAGGCTACCGTGCGCGAGGTGGGCGAAGGACGGAGGAAAGAGGCGGGACCCCCCCATGTAACCATGCGCGCGCGAAAATATACCCCTGTGGATAATAAGTTCTGGGCCCAAAAAGGGGTAAGACACGTTGTCCGGGAATCTCAGCAGAATGTGAAGATGACGAGGATGAGGATGATCCATCGGATCAGACACGTCCATGACAACAACGAGAAATCCATATGGGGTTTTTCGGTCATCCATCGAAATCCTATGGCAACCCATCGGACGCCTCAATGTATCCACTGGATGCTTTAGAACATCCATGGGATGCCGCAGTACATTCACGGACATTCGATGGAATCGCATCCGCTCCCTTCAGATACCCACGGGAATCCTAAGGAAACCGAAAAAGGGATCTTTAAGACGTCGATAGAAGCCAATGGAAATCCATAGGCTTCCTTGGGACACCCATCGCAATTGCAAGGGAATTCATAGCATACCTTAGGAACCCCGTCGGATTCCAAATGGGACTCCATAAATGTCCCATGGGTCTCCATCGGATGTCCCTGGGGTTCCTTGGGGAATCCATCGAATCCTTTGGGAAATCCACGTGGTTCCTTAGTAAAATGCTTGAGCACCCCGCGGAAATACACCATATTCCTTCGGCAACCAATAGGGGACATAAGCAAATCCAATGAATCGTTGGGCAATTGCTTTAGGACATCCATGGGGCTTCTCCGGGCAGCAATTCGATGCAACTGGAAATCTACGGGGCTCCTCAAACAATCCATACGATTCCGAACGTGGGAAATCACTTGGGTTCGTTTGGCAATCCGTCGAAATACCATGGGCACCCGTAGAATAATTTCAGGACATCCGCAATATTCCCTCGGAATTGCATGGGATCCCTTTTGACAGCCAATAAGATCCAATAGCAAACCGTTAAGAATCCGATGGGCGCCCATCCGGTTCCTGAGGGTACCCATAAGACTCCAAAGGACATGTGTTGCATCCCGATGGACATGAAACCCATGGGAATCCGAAGGGCACCAATGGGACCCCATCGGGTATCCATAAGAAACCACACGACACCAATTGGATTCCTGAGGGGGTCCATGAGATCCCTTCGGAAACCCATCGGGTTCCTTGACGCATCACTCTGATGTCAATGGGATTATGCTGGGATTCTTCAAGCTTATGACTATGCTGATGCTGATGATGAAGATGATTGCCCCTCCATCTCACAGCGGTTCAGGCTCGGCGAGAAGTTGTCTCCAGAAATTGCCTGCGAGCTGGAAGTCTTTGGCGGCTCCCGCCAAAACACCTCTCTCTCGCGCGCGACTTCGCGCTACTCGCCAACGCAGAATCGGCGCCCTTTGGGGCCGCCCTTCCACGGGAGGCGCGTCGCGCGTCCTCGCGCTGCAGCTTGTGCCTCCTCGACGCTGCCGTGCTTGGGCTCGGGCGCTGTTGGGTCATTCGCGGCTCGGCCTCGCCCTTGCCCCTGGCCTTGGCCGTGGCGGACTCGCTGTCGCTCGCGCCCTCCAGCGTCTGGATCCACCCGTTGCCCCGATCCCGCGCCTGGGCGATGCCGATGGGCGGCTGGCCGCCTTCGCCCTGGATCTCGCAGGGCGCGCTCGGCCCACCTCGTCGCCCAGAGCCCGCGAGTCCAGCCGCCCGCTCAGAACGTCTCGCTGCTGCTCGCAGGGCATTCCTCGGCAGGGCCGACGGCGCCGACCTTTCGGGGGATCTTCGCGGCGGCCTGCTCGGCGTTTTCGGGCGGCTGCTTGAGGGCGTCGCGGGGCTCGACGGCCGCGCCCGCCACCCGCTCGGACACCTTGAGGCGCGCGCAGTGCGCGGAGGTCTCGGAGGGCACTGCGATCAGCAGGTGCTCGGCCTTCTCAATGCCCATGGCCCAGCGCTTCTGCGGCTCGGGCTGCTGGGCGGCGATCTCGCCCTCGCCCTGGCCCTCCCGGGCCCAGGCGACGGCCGCCGTGTGCGGCGCGATCGCCGGGGCGATCTCGGGGGCGCCCGAATGCTCCTCGACCTCCGAGCAGCGCGCCCACCGCGCCCAGTTCGAGGGCGTCGCCCATTGCGATCTGATCGCAGTTCATGATCGCGCACTGCTTGGCGAGCTCGGTGCGCCAAGGTGCCCTGCTAGTTGGCCCCCTAGATGGGGCCCCGAGTAGGCGCGGTCGGGGGGTCGCGCAGCATCGCCGATCGATGCGTTGGCGACGCGATCCTCCGACTCCATCTACTCGGATCCCATCTGGGAAGCCTAGACCTGCAGATGCGCCAATCTACTGGCCGGCCCGGGGAACTTGTAGCCCTGCTCAACTGCGACCTGCGGGGAGCGACGATTTCAATGGAAATCCCTTGGATTCCCGAGGGACCCATCGGATCCCTTAGGACATCCATCGGATTTCGATGGATGGCCATACTCCTGAAGAAATGCATCCGATCCTTTGGGGCGCCCATGGGAGCCGGGGGCCATGATTTTCCTTGGGGGGCCCGCGTGCCTCAGGACAATCAATGCGCTTCCCGAGGGAATCCAAAGGAGATGAATGAAGAAAAAGGAAGAAGGGGAGGAGGAGGAGGAGGAGGAGGAAGAGGAGGAGGAGGAGGAGGAGGAGGAGGAGGAGGAGGAGGAGGAGGGGGGATCACAGGATCAGTCGCCGGAAAAAAACCAACTTGGATTCTGGGCTTAATATGTTCCCCGATCAGAGCTTGCCTCTGTAGGTGTCCTAGCGGATTCAAATAGTTGTCACAGATTTTCGCTGCGCGCCCGGGTGCCTGGGTGCCCGGGGGTGCCCGGGGAGGTGCCCGGGGCGCCCTGGCGTTCTCCTCGGGCGCGCGCTGGCTCTCGCGGCCGATGGCCCGTGGCCCTGGCAGGGCGAACTCGCCCGCCAATTTGCGGCCCTTCGCGCGCCGCTGGTTGATCCGGGAAATCCGCTGGCGCGCGGTCGCCGAATTGAATCTCGGCGTTGAA